TCGTTCGGAAAGTGAGGGAAATTGACGTTGCTGTTAATTGGTCAATTTCCATGTTGGTTAGAGAAGGATGCTAGCCGCCCTTGAGGGAAAGTTGCTAGCGGAAAGCGTCGTACGTAAGAAAAATAGATTTCCCCTATCTTCCCATAGTTGGAACAAAGACTGTTTGTCTGTTTGAAGGACTTTAGTTAACTAAATCCTAAGATTTGTAGCGGCTCCTCAGGCTAGCCGAACATGTACTGTGAAGATGCATCGACATCTGGTAATCATCTTGCCCGAAGAATAGGGTCTGTGTGTGGCGAGCCACGGCACACAAACCGTTGGAATGTTTACTGTCGCGTGCCGCTACAACTATTTCTCTTAAGGAGAGCTATGGAATTACTCCATCCCTATGTTAGGTAAAAACATTCATCCCGTGACCGCGGCGACGTTCGGCGACTGGTCGTCGCCTCTAGCCCAAGCTCATTACCACGAATCTCGAACAAATACAATCAGATTGAATGATGACAATTGTTTAATTACGCTTATGGTAGAATCTAGATTACTGTGTTAAGGGATTTTCCCGAAGTTCCAAAGGGAAGGCTTCGATGTCCTTTCATCTCCGACATATATATCGATTTTCAGTATTCGGTGAACTGTCTTACTTAGGTCTCTGAAGGCTTATGCACTTTCTTAGCGGCACTTTCTTAGAAAATGACATCCTGTTTCCACGATTCTTTATCGTTCCTGAGGTGCAGGTACCATGATGTTTAACGAGGAACGGTATAGGTGTCTAATTCCATGTATAAATCGGTTATAAATTCTTCAATTTTGAAGCGGTCTTCTTCGGATAGTGCAGGTTCACATATCTACACATCCGTCAGGCTTTTCATGTACGTGACACTTTCTCTAGTCTAGTTTCCGAATTAGAATCACGCTCATATTTCTGGGCATTGTTTGTTGGTGTTCGATGATAATATGATAAATGTCTTTGTCTTTCAATCGTTTAATATCCAACAACTAATCTTGGTCTCATTGAATTATCCGGTTCAATTTTTGTGGAGCAGCAGATCAGACAGATTCATCTCTTAGTGACAACTCTGCTTATTCTTCCAAAGAAATAATATACTAGTGAAATAATTTTATTCAATCGAAATCAGGTTCTTTTGAACTATAATCAGGTTTTTTGATTGACAGACATTCAATCTCAACTAATACGGTTGTCAAACTTTCCCTACCTTAGTTTGCGAGTTAGAATCGTTCTAATATTTCTGGCGACCGTTTATTTTTTATTCGACGATAATCGTTTTCGTCAATCGTTCATTTAATACCTCTTAGTTAATTTTCCAATTGGTTCAAACTATGGTTTATACGTTCCCATACCTTTATCAGCTTGGCCCTACTGTGATCAATGCAGCTAACCCTTCATAGTTTCGTTTACGAGGTAATATCGCTTCCTTCTTTTTTTGTGCGACCGTGTTCTTGGTATTGAATGATACGCGTTTTCGTCAGTCGTTCGTTTAATATTCATTTATTAATTTTATTACTGTTGAAAGTATGACTTTGGAAGTAGAATTTACACGTTTCCACAGGTTTGTTACTTTAGACGGGGGAAGTATATTTCTGGAGAGTGGAGATATAAGAGATTCACTTCTTGATTACGAAGGTCCTATCTGTTCGGAAAATAGAAAAAATATTTTTTCGTGATCGAAGTTGCGCAACATGAAAATTGAACGTGGCTACGGTGAAATAAACCCCACACTGAATATTTGAATAAATAAATATGCATTATCAAGAAGAGTGAGCGAGACAGATCGATCGATTTTCACGATGTGAAACGTGTGAAATACGCTTCCACCTTGAAAGACGATGAAAGTTAATAAATACAGGTATGTATAAACAATAGAATTTATTTTTTACACTTTAGTTTTTTTTATATGATACAAAATTATTGAAATATTTGACAATATAGTATACGAGAAGCTAAAGTAAATGATTTCAAATTTTGTTATGAAACGGACTGAAATTAGTAGGCAAATTGAAATAATTTTAATCTTTAAAAAATAGTTATTTTATAATTTCGATCATCATTCATATTCCATTATTATCATGCATTTCATTACTGATATATAAATTACTAAATAATATTTCAAAACGTAAAAATTTTAAAACAATTAAGTGTGCAATCTGATAAATACGACTTAAACTCTCACATGTGTTTCTTGAGATTAATTACTAGTTTTGTAGGTTACGATCGATGTACGTGTTAATTTGTTATCGACAAACTATTGGATCGAAAAACAGCTGGTTTAGGGACGAAGAAACTTGGTCGATGTCTGAAGCACTTCTGCAGACAATTTATTTATCCAATAGGAACGATGAAACTTTTTCAAGCTTCAAGCTTTGTGAAAAATAACTCTGTCGAAAACGTCGTATTGAAACAATGGGATACGTCCAGTAGATAGACGATCCGTGGAAATAAAAAGTAACCGTAAGCCTGGGAAATGGACGCTTCTTACTACTTTAGCGATTTTCATTATTCGAACGATTTAGTCAAGTAATAAGTACGTATTTCTGTTAAAGAGGTAATTATAATTTTTTAAAGTATCAGAATAATATACTGTTTTCATATCAAATGCAACCAAATATCATATTTTAGGTGTTATGTTCAGCTTCATGGATTTTTCAATGCAAGATTGAAGAAACGCTGTTGAGTGCCGAAGCGTGCAGACGTGTGTCTAGTGCTCTGTGAAGTTCACAATACAACACGTGACGCCCATCCGTCGAAAGTGAATCCAAACAGACATAAACCAAGTGTTTCTAAACTTACTGGTGGAAAATCCAACGCTCCTAATCTCTAATCCGAATCATAGCCTCTCGACTAGTTATTTCAAATTGAATTAACTAGCTCGAAGATGGCCCAAGTATCTCGATCAGGCTCTCTTGAGCAAAACCATAACTGCACCGCTCTACCTCCTCCGTGGCAAAAGGACAATATATCCCTCCTTTCAAACGACACTAAAAACATAAAAAAACGTAAGCTAGAAACAGTTAAAATAAACGCAAACGCTAGCGAGAACGAACAGTCAATAAGCCGTGTAACGACTTACAATAGATTTGCAATATTAGAATCCACAAACGACTCCATGGACGTATAAATTTGTTAATACTAATAATTTGTAAGTTATGAGTTGCAAAATCTCTAATAATATTGATTCAATTCTGCAAAAGAACCCAAGAGGAAGTCTTCCAAAGCACGGCTCGCTACATTGTCATCCACACGGAAAGCCTGACTGACATGTGAATACGTGTGAACAGAGCAATCGTTGATTGCAATTACGCTACATCATGCCAAACTCGTAGGACGAGCAATTCGATCAACTAATAAGCAATATTTTGTAATTTCTCCTACATAAAACTGTACTAAAAAGCAAAACATATGCACGTATGATATTGATCAAATGTAAGATAAGTTTTCTTAGTGCATCTAAATAGTATACCGGGTCACAGCAATTATGTACCTCAATAGAATGCTATCTCGATCAGTTCCTTAAAAATTATAAATCTAAACTTTGCTAGAAATAGGTATACAAAATATTATACTGCTTTCGACACTTCATTGCATATTGTATCCGCTGTTTTTCACTTCTCAATTGAAAACTGCAGAAATCTCATTGTTTTGTCAATTAAGAATACTTTTTTCAATGTCATTTAATTTTTGTAAACTATCTATGTCATACGTTTTATGTCATACATATTATGTTACGTTTAGGATTGTTAATCTTTACCTTTTTAGAAAATATGAGAAATTCATCCACAGTCAAGGGTCATCATGGTCCTGCACTGGTGTCATGCGAACGTGATTTAAACCTCTGAAAATACTGCTTAGACCTTGAGGCAGTTCCAATTACCCCGCTACGTTGTACGCGATATTAGTTGGATGTTGACATTAGCCTTGATAAAATCTCTCGACAGCTTGTAGCTAGTCCGCTTATTATTCATTACACTTTCAAGTGCGGTGAAGCTTTGCCGGTAGGAGGGAACAAGTCTGTCGCGTGAATATCCACGTGTCGTTTTCTATGGAAGGTGGTTAAGATAACTGATATGTGCGTAATTCGTACAGTTACGCATATTTATTCCACTTTTTCGGATAAACGAATATTATATGTCTCATTACTACGAAATATTCTTTTCTTCGATAGTTCGATATTATATTTGATATGAAAGTTTGATATTATATTTGATAACGTGTAAATGTAATTGCTAAGAAATTGAAAACAATTTATTGCGATTGTTTAAAATATTTAAATTATACGAAAATATTTACACACACATAATTTAGTTTTTTCACACTGCTTAAAAATAGTGTGTAGAGAATTGATCTTATCAGATATCACGAAATACAGATTACTGTTCGTGAGCAATTTATTTAAGATATTAATTCGACACAAAACACAAGTCCAGATATAATAACTTTCGCGAAATAAATACGCGCAGTCTCAAGAAACTCCGTATATACGTCTGATGCGTCTATATGCTTATACTGCGATCGCTGAACTTCCTCGCTCGTCATTTCGTTTGTTTATTTATACTGGTCGGGGGACAGTCGGAAAGTTTGAACTTGACTGCGTTTGACGGTTGAAAGTAGCGGTGACATTGTTTTGCTCGGAGTCATTACTCCTTGCAATACCTGTGACCTAACAGTCATGATACTCCGAAACAAAACAACAACAGGATTTGAATTTATCCTGCTCGCGTGCCGCTATAAGTGTAATCAAATGGATATTTCAGTATTGCCCGAGCAGCCGAGCTAACTGGACGTGCAAAGTAGTGCTTCAGAAAAGTGCGGCAAGTGGGGAAGAGAAATTTAAGAACGGTTACGCCTATAGCCAAACGGAGGAAACCCGTGTCTTCTATTAAGAAGACTAGCAAACCTACCATGAAAAATATTGCACCAATAAAAATTATAAACAAAAAAGATCAATACTACATATACAAAACAACAGATACATCAAAAACAAGTTAACCAACAAACCGAGGACAGGACTACTCAGCCACAATTGAAGTTGACATGGAAATCAACAAAGTAACAACTCAACAGCACGAAAGTTGGAAAGTAGCCAGTTATAACAAAGAAAGAAAAATAACAGGTAATCTAGAAACGGAAAAGCAGCGATGGCTGCAAGAATTACCGCTAAGAAACTCCTTCAGCTCGCTAGCATTACCGCTAAGAAACTCCTTCAGCTCGCTAACAGAAGAATTAGACGATGG